CAAAAAAAAAAAAAAAAAGGCAACAACACAGCAAGAAGACAGAGAAAAATAACTGCACAACAAAAAAAAAAAAAAACCTCCTAAAATTTGAAAACCCTAAAACCCTAACCCAATCAAATTAACCTAATCAAATTTTTTGAAAGTCCACCACAGACCAGAAGAAGTAACACAAAAAAGATCTGAAAATCATAACAAAAAAGAAGCGCAACAAATCTGGAAAAAAAAAAAATTGAAGCATCAAGAGGAACTTGGAGATAGTTGGTCGCAGTTAGTGGTTAATCTTCCTCTTTCCTTTCCTTCTCCTCCTCTGGTGCTGTCCTTGACCTCGTTCTCTTCCCTCTCTCTCTCTCTCACACACTGAAAAGTCGAAAGGCTCAACCGTGTGACTTTGCCTTTTGTTTTTTTCTTTTTCAAACCAAAACTACGACGTAGCTTTGCCTTTTTTTTTCTGGTTTCAACCCCTTTATAACAAAAATAGCCTCACTGTATCCCTATCATGTCCCTCCCGTATCCCCCACATATTCAAGTCATATCCAATAGGAAAAATTCAAATCTACTGTACAGGACACTTCTACAAGTGTCAGCCACGTGTCAAGCAGTGTCCCACGCGTATCCGTGTCGGATACGTATCCAACACTGCCATGGCGACCCCCCGACGAGTATCCGTGCTTCCTAGGTTGATATTCATGTTAATACTAATCATGCATATAAACAAAGGGACTCTACCTTTTATATATTTGTGTTGATTAATTGTCAATTTTATCTTTAAATTAATAATATAAAATTAATCATAAATTTTTCTATATCTTTAAAATGATTAAATATAATAGATTAATAGTTACTGCCATATGTTCAATAAAGAGAAATAAAAAGATCTAATACAATAGAAGGCTTTCCTTCGTCTTTCCTTCATATAGACATAGATTACACATATAAAACCAATAGTTTTGCCTCTAATTAACCCATATGTTGTAATGGTGGTCTAGGAAGCACGGACACTTCATTTTGGGCAGAGTGTCAGTGTCAGACACGTTTGGGACACAAACACGCTTCGAACACGTATCGAACACGCTAAAATGAGTGTTCAAATTTTTTATTGTTAAATATTTTTTAGGACACGTGGCCGACTTGTTCAGGACACGGTAGGAGACACATTTTGAGATTTATTTTCAATTTTTTAAGAACTTTTCAAATAATTTTATAATTAAGAGGTATTTTTATAATTTTAAAAGAATATGACTCACAATAATAATATAAAAGGAGTAATAATAATTACATTAAACATTGGACATGAATTTAACATAATTTTGGATACGAATACGAACATATATACAAATGGAATAGTCTTATAATATGAAAGTAATGTGAGCAAAAATTGGATTATAAAATTGGAGCTCTTGGGATTTAATGAAAATAAGTATTACGAAATGGAATATTTTTTAAACTAAAAGTTGTAGAAGTCATTGATTATTGAATCATAGATGTTAATGTTAAATGTGTATCAGTATATCTTATATTGTACTTTTTATGTAGTGATATCATAATGTGAATTTTTAGAATTAGGGAAATGATGAATTAAAAGATCATTATGATAATATTTTTATTTTATCACATGATTTTATATATAAATATATATATATATATATATATATATATATAAATAAAATACATATTATTTAATGTATCGCTAACGTGTCTGTATCCGATGTTTTTGAAAAATTTCGTGTCAGTGTCCATGTCGTGTCGTATCCGTGTCCCGTATCTATGTCTGTGTCCATGTCCGTGCTTCTTAGATGGTGGTAGTTAGTTTTTTATCCTAATATTTTATTAAGACCCTGAAGTATTGTCCGTAATAACTATAAATAGATATTGGTTATATTATATATTTTATCATATTAATTGCCTTTTAAGTCCATTTAATTATTTTAGCATTTCTTTTTTCTGATGAAGGGAAGGAGCGTTCTAATAGAATATGAATCTTGGTCATTCCATGTTTATGTTTATTAAAGTTACAGATTTCGCAAGAAGAAAAGTGATCAACAACTTTAATATGTAACATTTTATATACAAAATAATATACGGGCAATGCACGGTGGCAACAGCTAGTACTCTAAAACACGGACTGAGGCCATTAGAAAGAAATTTGCTGTAGATTTAAACAAGCATGACTCAACGAAGAGAAAACAGGAGACAAATCCAATTAGACAAAACCAGGTAGTTGGGACTAGGCAACCTAAATTTGGAAGAACAAACTTTCAATCATCACAGACAGAACCTTGTTCCACCAATCATGAAATTGAACTTCCACAAAAAGCCAACAAGCATGAGCCTGACGTTTGTATGAAAGACATGACATGAAAGGAATAGGTCTCCTGAATGCTATCTAAAAAAGACCACCAGATCCATGCATCTTTGAAGAGAAACCACAGAAGCTTGAAGCTGAAGTACAACTTTAAATGGTGGAATGTCAAGAGCAAGGTCACAGTTTGAATCTTAGTGCCAGAATTTAAGTTCAACTTGCCANACCACAGAGGCTTGAAGCTGAAGTACAACTTTAAATGGTGGAATATCAAGAGCAAGGTCACAGTTTGAATCTTAGTGCCAGAATTTAAGTTCAACTTGCCACTGGTATATTTGCGCTAATTTTCCAACTACTTGAATTAAACAATGTCACTAAGGAAAGGAGTTTTCGTTAGTTCAACTAATCTTAATCAGTAAGATGCTCCATTTGGCAGTCTGAATTATCCACTGTCTGGCATCCTTTAATTTTGAAATGTATTGGCTAAAAGGAATTTCATGGCCTTTCTAGAGATTTGTTCTTATGACTGGACTCCATGTGCAGCAGTGCAGAATAATTTCCCATTTGACAGTCAATGGGTGATAAAAATAGCACCCAGTTTAGTCCCGTTAATGAGAATTAAGAAAAACTGAAGAACAAGTTGAGAGATGAAACATGCACTACTAAAAACTTATGAAGGGGATCCTGCAAAAGATTTGAATACGGTGGATGAGTGGATGGATGAGTCCGGAACCGAAGTAAATAATTTGCACCAATGGTATTTAGAAAACCAATTTGATGTTTCCACTGAGCTGAAATATTGATCATAACTATAAGTCAAGTAACTAATAATGCACACTGCAGCTCTTTATTCTTACTAGCGCACTGAAAACCACCACAAAATCAGCACTCACTTCCAAATAAAAGATCTAGTATGGAAAATACCTCAAAAACAGAGCAGTGATGCCAAAAACACAAGGCAATGAAGGAGCAGCAACAGCCAGAAATACCATCCCTACTCCATAAAACCATGTAGCAATGTCGCAAGACAGATGACGCTGATGACCTACAATGTCAATATGAAATATTATTTCCTGTCACTGCAAAAATTATTTATTTTGGTGCCATTAAGAGATGACATGCACATCAAACTTTTTATGTGCTTCAGGAAAACAAACCTTTTCCGGAATCATAATCCAAAGTTCCGGCGCGAGAAGAAGATGATCCGACTTGATTTGCCACCACCTTTCCCCATTTATAGATAAAATGCAGGTAACACCCAAACAATAGGAAGAAAATGGTGAACGTCCACTCGTACATCAAGAGCATACCAGTCCATGGCATTACTTGCTGAGGGACAACTGAGAGTGCAAGTGCAAGGGACACCACAGCAGCCATAAAACAGAAAAAGATGGATATCCCTCCCAGAAAAACAGGCACCTTGGATTGCGCACTATTTGAAAACTATTAAATATCACAACAAATGAGGCAGAGGTACAACTATATCACTGCACATAAAAAAGCATCATGTAGTTCTAACGGTTGCTATCGGCCGAACTTGCAGAAATACGTAGTCTATGGTTTTAGCATGGATTGAAAGAAAAATTGACCATTCCATTTAATATAAGCAAAAAAAAAAAATAGGCAATAATAACATACCATTTAAAAAAAAAGGATGAGAAAATTAACCTGCTGATTAGAATTAATGGTAGCAGAAGAAACTGCTGAGTATGCAATAGCACCACCAGATCTGAATTTGTAGTAAAGGTGTCTAATATGGCCGCACATAGAACGTGTCTGCAACAGCAATGAAAATGCATATCCAAAAAATACAGGTATCTGATGTTCAATGAATGACCTGAAGTTGTAAATGCTAACCTGAAGAAAAGTCCAATAGTAACAGAAAAGTAGAACAAACAAGGGGAGCACAAAAAGAAATTTTACTAAAAGTTCGTCATTAGGATTTCTGCCCCCTCCAGTTCCAGGGAGACTGTCGTCAAGCTGTACCCGAACACTCTGCAACGTCAACAAGCATATAGTAAGTCATATAATTGTGGTGGACTTGTTAAGTTAAGCCTCCTCAACTGTAAAAATCAATTTGGAGCATAAATCCAAATTTCAAACAATAAAAATGCAAAAAGAGAAGAAAAACAAAAAAAGGAGGGTTGAAGAAATGGAAGTAAAATAAATATGATAATTCGATCAGGATAGCAGCAAATTGCATTTAAAACATGGTTATGGATTTAAAAGCAGATACCTGCCAGACATCAACGGGTTTCAAAAGCCAAGATGTCCACCAATCCCACGGTTTAAGGGGGCCAAGTGTATAATGAATAACATGGAGTTGTTCCTCATCCACCATCCACTGCATAAATAATACATGATAAAATTAGAAATGGAATAAAAAATTAAGGCGTGTTTGGATTACATCTCAAAAAATAATATCTGAAAATAATTTTTGGGATTAAGAAAGTTTTTTGATATTCTTATATTGCAAAACCTGTTTGGTTATACTTTGAAAATAATTTTAAAGAACAGAAAATAGTAAAATCTGTTTGGACAATGATCCACAAAACCCCCACCTCAATTTTTATCTTATCACTTTTGCTACTCTCGCCAATCCCGTCTCTCTCTCTCTCTCTCTCTCTCTCTCTCTCTCTCTCTCTCTCTCTCTCCCCATTATCTTCTTACACAGCAAACACACCCACACACACAGAGCAAACACACAGCCATCGCACACAGCAAACACATATCGCACATATACACACACCCACACACTCACATGTCGCACAATATATACACACACACAAAATATTTATGTTCAAATCTGTATATATACACAGATCTGTGCATATATATATATAGATCTGCCGGAGAGAGAGAGAGAGATGACATCTTCTGAGTTGTGGTGTTTCTCGTTGCCGGAGCTAAAGCTTCGACTTGACGGAGGTGCTTCTTCAGTTGTATGTGTNAGAGATGACATCTTCTGAGTTGTGGTGTTTTTCGTTGCCGGAGCTAAAGCTTCGACTTGACGGAGGTGCTTCTTCAGTTGTATGTGTGTGTGTGAGAGAGAGAGAGAGACAGGAGTGGGGGGGGTGAAGGAGACAATAGCGTCTAGCTTGGAGGAAAAAAAGACCTTTTATATGAAGGGATTTAATGAACAGTGCTTTGGTCTCGGTGTTTTCAGATTTTTGCTCTCGGCTTCCCCGTTTTTCCGAAAACTTGAGAACCGAAAAACAAACCAATCAACTTTCTCCTTGATTTTAGAATTTTGAGAACAAAAAACTATTTTGTAAAACCAAACCAAACAGGCCCAAAGATTCTAGTTGCATATTGTTTTGAGTGAACTGTTTTGCTGCAAAACAACAACGGTGCATGCAGCTATTATTTTACTTCCAGCTTATATTCCAGAACACGTCACAAAAAAAAAAAGGAACATGTGCATTTCCAATGATTGATTGTACCCGCATTACCAAACATGAACTTCTTTCTATTGAGACATTTTTAGTTCAAGACAGATTGAGGTCAGTGTTGTAACTTACATAAAGGAAAAAGTGTAATGTCAAAAATTCACCAATACAATAGATGAATAAACTTACATACCCCAACAGCTTCCCCTGTTTCATGGTTCAATCTTCTACCTTTATTTACACAAAAAAACAACAGTTTTCTACCCTTAGTTCTTCACAAGCATCCTTGTTGAATACACTTGACTATTTTTGTCAATCTCTCTACACACTTGACTATTTTATTAAAATTGTTAAACAACCATCTACTCCAAAAGCTTAAATTGTTGGAGAAGGTATTACTTCAATATTTATACTTTAACACTCCCTCTCACATTTAGTCTAAATTTTAGGCTTAGCACGTAGAAATCTTTTAATCTTTTGGATTAGATGGTTGTTTAGCATAGTATCAGAACGGGAGGTCATGTGTTCAAATCTCGCCTCTATCTATTGGAGCGGATATAACTTAAGTATTTATATTTTAACAAAAACATGACTACATTGGGCTAATTTACTTATCTAGCAGGTTTTCTTTTCACAAATCATGGATACCATATGTCGACGTACATTCAAGCATCACACTTTTGAACACAATCAAAGTAACACACAAAACACAACCTTAAAAGTCTAAACCCACACCCATTCTCCCAATGGCCCAACTATCGGCGGGAGATGAAGATTTATATGGCTCTTTGCTATGCAACAACCCATCAATGTGGCCCTAATTTGTTTTTTTTTTTTTTTTCAAACATGCAGAGTAGCATGGGCATGGCTTAAGAAGTCTAAGACCCATACTCATTCACATCGCACACATAAGGATGCATGAATCAAAGATAACATACATACTTACAGAATTTCAAATAGAAAAAGTAAAAGTATAGTGATAAACCCAAAACAGAACATGTGATGCTTTTGTAACCATACATAAAGTTCCACTAATAAAGAAAATTTAAAAAAAAAGGAACACCAACTGAAATGGAGTTGCCACAGATCAAATAAAAATAAATACACAGCCACTTTCCAATTTCATATGTTGCATCTTTATGAAACAAAATTCATAATGGCACACATCTCCATATATGAGAAATTTAATCCATTAAGTTATGGGAAATTTAATCCATTAACTTATGGTTCAATCTTGACCACTAAGGAACTAATGTAAGAGTTTTGCCCAAGTACTAATAGTTAAGGTGGGAATAAGATGCAAGTAAAGACTGCCCAACATTTTTAAGGAAACACAAATTTAAATCAGACAAATTCTGCCCTGATTAGGAAAAGTGAAGAACTATTACACAGCCATAAAGAAGCACAGGTAAATTTCCTAAATGGAACCAGAAAGTGTCATACAGCATCATAGATGCAACATGAATCATTATCATTGATTAAGAAGAATCATAAAGTGAGTGAAAGTAACAGATGTGGTCGGACAAGTGCACAAACCCCAACCTCTGTTTTCAAGCAAGGCAGAGAGATTGCATCCATAAATAAGTTTCAAGTGTTGAGGAATATGATTACTATTCAATCGTGCGGTCTACATGTTTAATTCACTTATCACCAACAATTACTTTCCTATCCTAACATTTCCACAAAAGCACCGACTCTATAACTAAACATCATACAACTATCATAATCTTATCTTATTGACATAGTTAGATAAAGTGCAAAAGTAGGATTCTGAATTATTATCAAACATTGAATCTTTACATAAAATGATCTTTCAGTTGACATCATATTGTCACTTATTATACATAAGAAATTTTGGGCAGAACTCTCACAGGTAACTGCCAAGGCAGTACCTTTTCCAGTTTAACAGAGTTATTTTGTTCTTTTGGCAAGCGCATTGGGAAGATGGACACCCAACGCACTCCAGAAGATTTCCTGGCAGTTCTAGAACTAATATATCATCAATATTTCAATATCTAAGCATTCCCACGCATGAGATCTGGAAAATTTATTTAGCCAGCCCATAACTCTTTAAAACAAAAATCTTATCTGTAGGGATAGAAAAAGGAACTCTGGGACCAAGGATTTCGTAAATGAATACTAAAAACTAACATTGAGGATATCTGAAAATGCGGGCAGCAGAGGATTCACTGAGTGGTTCTTTTTCTTGTTCTTTTTTTCCTCAAAATCATTACTGCTAAGTTTGGCTAGAAGAAGGGCTAAATTTTTCCACCTCCAATAATAACAAGCGGTTGTAACCATTACCAAATGTATTAGACAAGCTAATAATAAAATAAAGACTTTCAAAAGTTGATATTTGGTGCTGACACCACATGATGTTGCGAATAATAGCTCAAGACTCGGGCACAATCCTGACCTCTGCAACAATATACACAAATTGCTATCTCCGCCTTGAGACACATTTTCACCCTTAACAGCCCAATTTTCTATACTTGCACTAGCCCATTGCTCCAACTAAACATAGTTAACCAGTTATTTCCCAAGATATCCAAGAAGCCTTCCATCTGAAAACCAGTCTAGATCTTTTAATTTATCGCAGACTACAAGCTTAAATATTGCTTATCATGAAAATGCACTGCTGCAAATTGCATGCAAGAGAAATTATCCTTAATTGTATATTGTGTGCAAGGTTCATCTTTCAACGGCATGTAACTTCTCAATCTCACTTTTACCGATTTTGCATTCATCCACCAATGTACCTTTATGGTCTGTTTGTTTGTTGAAAGGAGAAAAAGCAATGGGAACTACGCTATTTGACTTATTTCACTGATCATAGTGTCGACCAACTCTCCACAGAAGTAATTTGTTCCAAAGACGATGCAGATAACAAAGAAAGGAAATTTGGCACAAAAATAATTACATTAAGCCCATTCTTTAATAACCTCCATCCCATGGTTCTAGGGGAGTTAAAATGCTAAATATTACACTCGGATGATAAAGTAGTCTTATCAGTTTACTATCTCATATGTAGGCCATTGCCCCATATTTGGAAGCTGATTAAAAAAATAAGTGCTCAATTGGTATTAATGCCAAAAAGGGCTTATGAGAGAGTTTTGGGAATTGTTTTTTGTCCCCCCCCCCCTTTTCTCTTCCTCCTTTTCTTCCAAAAACACAAATCCCCACACCTCAAAATGGGGAAAAAAAAAAAAAAGGACTTGTAACTGTAGACATTGCAGGGGCTTCCAACAGAAAAATTTTCGCCTTACAAAGTCATCAAAAGGATCAGGATAAGGAAAAGAAAAAAAAACTGAAGACAATGAGAAAAATGTACGCCCTTCAAAAGAAAGAAAAAGGTGGAAAATAGTTGTTTGGTTTGTCAATATTTTTTGCAAACTCTAAATCTTTCACTACATAGCGCTTCGTCTTTCATCTATTTCTTTGTTTTGCCTCTTATCTATCAATTTATTTGTGGCCATAATCTTATCTTTTCACTTTCTGCCGTACCCTTTCATGCAAATAGATTGGATCTTAGCCTAAACAATTGAATTTTAAAAAATATCAAAGTCCAAACACAAAGTACACTTAGAGGGGAAAAATTCACAATGATACACAAACGTTAAGCATCCATGCCATATTATAGAAAAAGGGGCCAGAAATTATGTAAGTGGTACAAGCATAATTGAAAACCTATTAGGACCCTAGGAAATGGTACCTTGTTAGCGAGCATGTAAAGGCCAACATCTGCATTATAAAGAGTCGAAAGTCTCTCCATTTCGGGAACTGGTCTAGAATGTAAAGTGTCAGGTGACAAGTCTGGCTCAAAAACATGCGCATTGGCAAACCCTGTATAATAGGAGTTCAGAAACCCTTGATCACCTGTTGAGAAAAAGAAAAATAGAGCTGAGAGAGAGAGAGATACTGTTGTTATGAATAAGAAAGCTTGGCTATTGAAAGTTTAATTTTTCCAAAAGAAACCAGTATATAACACCTAAACAATAGGAATGAAAACAGGTGTTCCAAAATTATAGACGAACCTATACAACAAGAACACCATTCAGTACATGTTTCCATGCAGACAAATAGACACATAAAGGCAAATCAACATTGTTTCACATCCCATTTTATATTACACTAAGTTTTCTTTAAAACTTCATTTCCTCTAATGTTTCAGTTAAATAATAACCCGTTACACTTGGTGCAACAGTGTATTCTGTCCTTTGAACAATGAAAGTCCATAACAAACTTGCAAAAAGAAATCCCAAAAAGAAAACCTTATGTCGCGAGTTTTGACAGGTTTTTCGTTTTACTCAACTAAAAAAGACAAATAGACATAGATTGAGATGAGATCATTCACTCCTCACTTCCGAATGCTCAATGAAATTTCAAGATCTTCTCCGGAAGCCCGAAAGCAGACGAGCAATAGGTGCGAAGGCTTGCAAGGACAGAGGAGATAAACTCCATTCTTCCCGCATATGATAGTGGCACAAAAGAATAAACTAGAATAACTCAGAAAGAGAGTGGCGGAGCCTAGCCGTTGAGAGCGTTTGTTGTCTTTGTAGAGGAGCAGTTGATGGAAAATGGCAATGTCCANAGCTCCATTCTTCCCGCATATGATAGTGGCACAAAAGAATAAACTAGAATAACTCAGAAAGAGAGTGGCGGAGCCTAGCCATTGAGAGCGTTTGTTGTCTTTGTAGAGGAGCAGTTGATGGAAAATGGCAATGTCCAATAAAGGTGTATAAAAGACGTGGGCCGGATGGTTCTAAGGCCCAAGCCTTTAATTTGGCATATGTTGGATGATGTTGGGCCCACTTGAGATATTGACTAGACATGGGCTGATTTTTAAAAGTCTGCATGACTTTTCATTTGTCTTATGACCTTTCATTTAGTTACATTAACCACAGGTTTTCTATGCATGTATCCACAGATTCATGCACCATAACACATTCATTGTATCTAGTTTTTTGGGAGTTGAAAAGTTTCAGCATTAATTAGTTTCTGAAGTCCTGTATATTGATGTAACTTCAAGACTTTGAAGTATGATGAATTAAAATATGAAATTTTCATAAGCTTTTCTAAGCTTTTAAGATTGTGTGATGCAATCCTTTCTTTGGTGTGATGCTAAAGAGCCCTAGGTAAGATGTCTTGGGTTTTCTAGGTGTGAAGCCTATAACTATCTTCTCTTCCTTCTAATTCTCCTTCTTGCTTTCTATCTACTGTTCACGGCCCCCTAAACAGCACTTAAACAACCCCTGTTTTTAGTATTTTCACCTTCCTTAACCGCCTTCCAATTCTGTCCTACATCATTTTGGTATTAGAGCAGGGTTGTAACATGACCACACAGTCGAGCAAGCCTTTTAGAGGGAGATTGACAAATAATCAGCGAGATCAAATGCTATTCCGAATTACGAAACAGCTGAATGGTATAAGCCTCCGAATGACCAACTTGGAGACTAGAATTGTTCAACCACTCAACAATGCAACAGTCCATGAGCGAGGAGAAGCTGCTATCAAGGGTCATGTGGAGAATGAAAGAGTGGCAGAGGTCCAAGTCCCAAATGCTCCTCCAACTGAGATACCATAACCTCCCATGCCAAAATGGGCTAGAGAAGTGCTAGAAAGAGAGCGGTATGAGACATAATACAACCGGAGATATCACAAAGAAAGTTAAAATAGTAATTCCAGACTTTGAAGGTAAAGTTAATCCTACGTTATTTTCTAATTGGCTTGCTTCCATCGAGGAATACTTTGATTGGTTTGATATGACTGACAATCGATGAGTGAGATTTGCTAAGAGAAAGCTTATAGGATTAGCAAAAATTTGGTGGATAGGCGTTGAAGGTGATATTAGGCGATTGGGATAGCCACCAATTAGTACATGGGTAGAGATGAAAGCTAAATTTCGAGAGAAGTACATGTCAGTAAATTACCATGAGAAGTTGTGTGAACAACTCATGGAATTAAAGCAAAATAGCATGTCGGTGGCCACATATATGCAGAAATTTGATGAACTTAAAATAAGGAGTCAAGTGGTGGAAGATCCAAGTCAAACTCTTGCACGATTCAAAATGGGTTTGAGGCCAGATATAAGGAGGGAGCTGTTTCGTCAACCCTTGTACAATCTTGAACATGCTTTCCGGGATGCTTTGGATATGGAGGAGTATTTGAAGTACCCAATTACGAGAAAGTTTGGGTCTCAAGCTGGGGAGACAACATCAAAGAAGTACAATAATGCAAGTAACTTTCGGACCAATGGTTCTAAGTCATCTTCTCAAAACGTGGCTAACCCAGGTAAAGCTCATCCAACCAACAAATCGGGAGGAAGGAAGAAAAGCAGGTGTTTCAGATGTGGGGAGATAGGTCACATGGCGTTTCAATGCCCAAAGCGAAACTTACATCTGAGAGTGGAGCATAATGAGAAACCTGACCAACAACACCATGAGGATGAGGAGGAATCGTTTGATGTTGGGGCCTTCAATACTGATGATTTAGAAGACGAAAAGACTAACACTTCATTGATTTCGGTTGTTAGGCGTATCCTTGTAGCCCCTAAAATTGAGAAGGAAGATTGGAGGCACATTTCTATTTTCCAGATGCTAGTTCGTTGTAGAGATCAAGCCTGCAAGCTTATTATTTATGGTGACAGTTGCATGAATGTTGTATCATCATCCAGGGTTGAGCGCCTTAAGCTTCTCATTTAACCAAATCCTCAGCCATATAAGGTAGCTTGGATTGACAGCACTTCTATTCTGGTAACTCAACGATGCCTTGTCTCTATTTCTTACAGTTCCTATATTAATTTTATTTGGTGTGATGTGATTCCTATGAAAGTTACTCACATCCTCCTTGGAAGGCCTTGGCTTTATGATAGAGATATACATCACTTTGGGAAACAAAATACATATTTTTTCTCATTTAACAACAAAGAGATTGTTTTGAAGTCGTTGACTACAACTGAAATGGAGAAATTCAAAGAAAAGAAGTCAAAGGATGATGTTGATGTTAAGCTAAAGTCCCTTTATGTTCTCACCAAGAAGCTCTTTCAACGAGAGAGCATGGAATCTGGGGTGGTGATGAAAGAAGTATCAAAAACACAAGATGTTTTATCCACTGCAATACCACCAGAGGTGACTGAGCTGCTATCTCACTTCTCTAATGTTGCACCCGAAGAGTTATCAAGTGAACTTCCTCCAATGTGCAATGTCCAGCATGCAATAGACCTTGTTCCAGGGTCAGAATTGCCTAATCTTCTAGCCTATCGCATGAATACAAGTGAACACACAGAGCTTAAAATGGCTAGTAGAGGAACTGCTTTCAAAGGGATTTATTCGTAAAAATTTAAGCCCTTGTGTTGTCCCCGCATTACTCACGTCAAAGAAAAATGGCAATTGGCACNTCATATATGTTGTGGTGATGAAAGAAGTATCAAAAACACAAGATGTTTTATCCACTGCAATACCACCAGAGGTGACTGAGCTGCTATCTCACTTCTCTAATGTTGCACCCGAAGAGTTATCAAGTGAACTTCCTCCAATGTGCAATGTCCAGCATGCAATAGACCTTGTTCCAGGGTCAGAATTGCCTAATCTTCTAGCCTATCGCATGAATACAAGTGAACACACAGAGCTTAAAATGGCTAGTAGAGGAACTGCTTTCAAAGGGATTTATTCGTAAAAATTTAAGCCCTTGTGTTGTCCCCGCATTACTCACGTCAAAGAAAAATGGCAATTGGCACATATGTGTTGACAGTCGTGCTATAATCAATATCACAATCAAATACCAATTCCCCATTCCAAGGCTTGATGATATGTTGGATATGTTGGCTGGTTCTTGCATATTTTCGAATATAGATCTAAAAAGTGGATACCATTAAATACGCATAAGACCAGGAGATGAATGGAAGACAGCTTTCAAGACAAGGGATGGCTTCTATGAATGGCTAGTCATGTCATTTGGTCTTACAAATGCCCCTAGTACCTTCATGCGCTTTATAACACTGGTATTACAGCCATTTATTGGTCAATTTCTGGTTGTTTACTTTGATGATATTCTAATATATAGCAAGACCAAGGATGAACACATCTTTCAACTTCAACAAGTTTTGAGGGTTCTCCGCCACGACAAGCTCTACATGAACTTAAATAAGTATTCTTTCATGAGCCCAAGTGTTTCTATTTTTGGGCTTTGTTGTTTCAGCTAAAAGAGTGAAGGCTGATCCAAGTAAGGTGAAAGTCATTCTAGATTAGTCAATTCCTAGTGCTTTGCATGAAGTACGAAGTTTTCATGGGTGGACGACTTTTTATCGTCGCTTTATCAAGAATTTCAGCACAGCTATAGCACCTATAACCAACTATATGAAGGTGGGACAGTTTGTTTAGACCAAAGCAACAACAAAGGCCTTTGAAGAAATAAAGAAAATGATGATTGAAGCTCCTGTTCTACACCTTCCTGATTTCTCAAAAGTGTTTAAGGTGGCTTGCAATGTATCCCATGTTGGGATTGGAGGTGTGCTTACTCAAGAAGGGCACCTGGTTGCTTACTTCAGTAAAAAGCTCAACGAAGCCAAGCAAAAGTACTCTACCTATGACAAGGAGTTCTATGCAATAATATATAAGCACTTCGGTATTGGCACCACTCTTCTTTTTAAGGAGTTTGTGTTGTATTCTGACCATGAAGCACTCGATTACATTAACTCCCAAAAGAAATTGAATCATAGCCATGGTAAATGGGTTTCATTTCTGCAAGAATACTCTTTTGTTATCAAACATAAGGTTGGTTATGAGAATAAGGCAGCTGATGTACTTAGCCAAGTGGTGTATGTTCTTTCTTCTTGCAAGGATTTGCTCAAGTTGTGGGTTTTAATTTGCTCAAAGGGGACTATCCTTCTTACAAAGATTTCAAAGTTATACATGCTAAGTTATTGGCTAGACAGCAGGGAGGATATGATGATTACGGCTACCTCTTCAAGGAAACCAAGCTTTGCTTACCCAACACTTCTCTTCGTGAATAAGTGATTTGGAAATTACATTCTGGAGGTGCAACAAGTCATTTTGGAAGAAATAAGACAGTTGCAATGGCTGAAGATCGCTTTTATTGGCCAAAGCTGAAGCGGGATGTAGCCAAGGTAGTTTCACAGTGTCGAACTTGTCAACTTTCAAAAGAAAGAAAGAAGAATACTGGTTTATACACGCCACTACCTGTGCCACACGAGCCATGGCAAGATTTAAGTATGAATTTTGTCCTTGGATTGCCTAGAGCCCTTCGCAGACACAACTCCATTTATGTGGTTGGATCGCTTCTCAAAAATGGCTCACTTTATTCCTTGTTCTAAGACATCCAACGTTGTTCACATTGCTAAGCTTTTCTTTAAAGAAGTTATTCGTCTTCACGAATTACCTCAAACTATTGTATCTGATCGGGATGTGAAGTTCGTGAATTATTTTTGGCGCACACTATGGAAGTTGTTGCATACAAGGTTGAAGTTTTCTTCCGCTTTCCACCCACAAACTAATGGTCAAACGGAGGTTGTCAACCGCAGTTTGGAAGACCTACTTCGCTGCCTTGTCAAGGATCATGTTAGTAGTTAGGATCAAGTACTTCCTATGGCTGAATTTGCATATAATAGCACTGTAAATAGATCTACAGGCTCTGATCAAAAAAAAAATAGATCTCCGGATCGCAGTCCATTTGAGATTGTTACAGGTTTGCTTCCTAGAAAGCCAATTGATTTGGTTCCGTTACCTATCGAGGCTCGCCCAAGTACTGAAGTTGAAACCTTTAGCAATCATATTTCTAATATACATGCTGAAGTTCGACGAAAGATTGCCATAAGCAATGCGAGCTACAAACGACATGCTGATTTGAGGAGAAAGTTTGTTGAATTCGATGAAGGAGACATGGTTATGGTCCGAGGGAGGCCTGAACGGTATCCTAAAGGTGCTTATAAGAAGCTTCATTCAAAGAGTGCTGGTCCATTTAAGGTTCTCAAGAAAATTAGCTCCAATGCTTATGTTCTTGACTTACCTGAAGATATGGGCATCAATAATATCTTCAATATTGAGGATCTTACTAAATACCTTGTACACACTGACAATGATATACACCCTGATCCAGTTACTTCTCTACCACAAGCCACATATTTAAGGGATAAAATTGAAGACATGGTTGATCATTAGATTGTTTCAATTAGAAGTGGTGGTTATCAGAAATATCTCATTAAGTGGAAGGGACGTCCACTTTCAGATTGCACCTGGATTACCGACGAACAGTTCCAACATCTCAACCCTGATCTTTATGAAACATTTCATGCTTTTAACTTGTCAGAGTTGGGTTCTCTCAAGCCGAGGAGAATTGATGGAAAATGGCAACGTCTAATAAAGGTGTATAAAAAACGTGAGTTGGATGGTTCTAAGGTCCAAGCCTTAATTTGGCATACGTTGGATAATGTTGGGCCCACTTGGGATATTAACTAGACATGGGATGATTTTTAAAAATCTGCATAACTTTTCATTTGCCTTATGACCTTTCATTTAGTTACATTAACCACAAGTTTTATATGCATGTATCCACATATTCATGCACCATGACACATTCATTGTATCTAGCTTTTTTGTGAGTTGAAAATTTTCAGCATTAATTAATTTATGAAGTCCTATATATTGATGTAACTTCAAGATTTTGAAGTATGATAAATGAATATATGAAATTTTCAGAAGCTTTTAAGATTGTGTGATTCAATCCTTTCTTTGGTGTGATGCTAAAGAGCCTTAGGTAAGATTCCTTGGGTTTTCTGGGTGTGAGGCCTATAACTATCTTCTCTTCCTTCTAATTCTCCTTCTTGCTTTCTATCTACTATTCACAGCCCCCTAAACAACCCCTATTTTCAATATTTCCACCTTCCTTAGCCACCTTCCAATTCTGTTCTACATTAACAATATAGTCTTTAACTGGCCACTTTGCACAACCTAGAAAGAAAAAGAAGTTTGTGCTTGTGGCAAAAGGTGTCCTAGAATTTTTTTTTCCTTCTAAAATAAGATTTTTTGCTTTTTTATTAAGAGATATTTGACTTTCCCATATAGTAACATTCTTCCTTCAGTGAATTTCAAGTGTCTCCTATTGCCTATTTTAAAAAGAAATGTAGGCCGTGCAAATTGCGTCTTCTATCTTGCATATATATATATATATATATATATATATATATATATCTTTATCAACCATGTCAACTTCCGCCAGTACCTCCGAATGAGGAAGAAAAAGATACCATGATGTAAGTCTGTTATTCCTTGCACCATAGGTGTTCTTGCGTCACAAGGAGTAATTGGTAGGAATAGCTATTCTAGAGCAATCATTTGGTTTGGTCGATTCTTTGACTACTCTGCTCTCCCCAAAAAAAGAGAGATTTGTTCTTGAAATCGGTTGTTGGGTTGGTCCAAAAAGTCATGGAAGAGGCGGGGTAAGTGAAATAAAACACTGGTGCTATTATAAAATCTTATGAATCACGCACGGCACGTTTTTTATATCTTCTCCGTCTACAAGGTGAACACCTTAGCTTACAGCACAACATGTTTGGCACCACCTAATCTGCTTATGTGTAAAATAGTGACCCAAAGAGAAAATACCCAATAAAATCAAACATTCTTAAGTAGTTGCCNACATTTCATGCTTTTAACTTGTCAGAGTTGGGTTCTCTCAAGCCGAGGAGAATTGATGGAAAATGGCAACGTCTAATAAAGGTGTATAAAAAACGTGAGTTGGATGGTTCTAAGGTCCAAGCCTTAATTTGGCATACGTTGGATAATGTTGGGCCCACTTGGGATATTAACTAGACATGGGATGATTTTTAAAAATCTGCATAACTTTTCATTTGCCTTATGACCTTTCATTTAGTTACATTAACCACAAGTTTTATATGCATGTATCCACATATTCATGCACCATGACACATTCATTGTATCTAGCTTTTTTGTGAGTTGAAAATTTTCAGCATTAATTAATTTATGAAGTCCTATATATTGATGTAACTTCAAGATTTTGAAGTATGATAAATGAATATATGAAATTTTCAGAAGCTTTTAAGATTGTGTGATTCAATCCTTTCTTTGGTGTGATGCTAAAGAGCCTTAGGTAAGATTCCTTGGGTTTTCTGGGTGTGAGGCCTATAACTATCTTCTCTTCCTTCTAATTCTCCTTCTTGCTTTCTATCTACTATTCACAGCCCCCTAAACAACCCCTATTTTCAATATTTCCACCTTCCTTAGCCACCTTCCAATTCTGTTCTACATTAACAATATAGTCTTTAACTGGCCACTTTGCACAACCTAGAAAGAAAAAGAAGTTTGTGCTTGTGGCAAAAGGTGTCCTAGAATTTTTTTTTCCTTCTAAAATAAGATTTTTTGCTTTTTTATTAAGAGATATTTGACTTTCCCATATAGTAACATTCTTCCTTCAGTGAATTTCAAGTGTCTCCTATTGCCTATTTTAAAAAGAAATGTAGGCCGTGCAAATTGCGTCTTCTATCTTGCATATATATATATATATATATATATATATATATATATATCTTTATCAACCATGTCAACTTCCGCCAGTACCTCCGAATGAGGAAGAAAAAGATACCATGATGTAAGTCTGTTATTCCTTGCACCATAGGTGTTCTTGCGTCACAAGGAGTAATTGGTAGGAATAGCTATTCTAGAGCAATCATTTGATTTGGTCGATTCTTTGACTACTCTGCTCTCCCCAAAAAAAGAGAGATTTGTTCTTGAAATCGGTTGTTGGGTTGGTCCAAAAAGTCATGGAAGAGGCGGGGTAAGTGAAATAAAACACTGGTGCTATTATAAAATCTTATGAATCACGCACGGCACGTTTTTTATATCTTCTCCGTCTATAAGGTGAACACCTAGCTTACAGCACAACATGTTTGGCACCACCTAATCTGCTTATGTGTAAAATAGTGACCCAAAGAGAAAATACCCAATAAAATCAAACATTCTTAAGTAGTTGCCAGCATAAGAAAACAGCAGGCAGTATATAAATTATAATCAACTATTAAAAAGCAAAAACTACATACCTCCAGTATAAGAATGTAAAGTCTTCACTTTACTCATCATATCATTGAAAACTTTTTCAGAAGGTTCCACTACNAAATTTCATGCTTTTAACTTGTCAGAGTTGGGTTCTCTCAAGCCGGGGAGAATTGATGAAAAATAGCAACGTCTAATAAAGGTGTATAAAAAACGTGAGTTGGATGGTTCTAAGGTCCAAGCCTTAATTTGGCATACGTTGGATAATGTTGGGCCCACTTGGGATATTAACTAGACATGGGATGATTTTTAAAAATCTGCATAACTTTTCATTTGNGTTTTAAGTTAGCACAAAACTTTCCACATTTGAATAGATCTTCAACGCTCTTAACTACAATTGTATCAGCATCAAGATATACCACTGCAAGAATTTTGATGAAACAGAAATTTTAGTTCAAATCGCCATACCATGCACCACAACATTTTATACCTCCATAAGTAACTTGGGACTCAATAGAAGTGACAAGTGCAGTTGACTGACAATGTAAAAACTAGTTTACTAAGAAACGGGTCCCAAACAAAGAATAAGGCAATGACCTTTCTTGTACTGAGTCATGTTAAATATTTTCAGCTTTGTATAGACACCCCATAGCCTTTTAGGTCTGACTTGATTAGGGTTTGCCAACAGACTAATATGCTCCACTAGCCAACCATCAGCCTGCACAAACAATAACCAGGACCATAAGATACCAATTGGTTAAAAAGTAGCACTAAAAAGTAAAACTCGACTCATTTTAAGTAGTAATAACTTTTTCTAAGTAACAGATAGCTAGCTGTTTAGTTCTTGCTTTTGAAAGCAAAGCAAATTGCCAAAATATTTATCAGCTGTTTACATACACAGTACATGAAAGACCATAACTTGAATAAAGAAAACCTCAGGCTTTCACAGGAAAATAAAACTTTCACTTAACTCATTCAGGTAAATTTCACACTTTTTTTCTCTAAGGAGAAGNGGCTTTCACAGAAAAATAAAACTTTCACTTAACTCATTCAGGTAAATTTCACACTTTTTTTCTCTAAGGAGAAGATGCAATAAATAATTTTGGCTGCTAAACGAATAAACAGAGGATCAGCAAATAACTTTCGGCCAAAGAAATTCCAAATATAAACACGAAAAAATCCAAAGTAATTACTGGGATTAAAATTCGCTTAATGATCTGACATCCAAAGTCATAAAATTTCTCCCTCCCTTCCTCTCACACACAAACTTTAACTCGTGCACAAATACAGAAGGTCATATTCCTAAATCCATGTCATTAGTAAGGATATATAAATTTAAATTACAATCTCAAAATAACAATTTTCTTGCCTTTTTTTCTCCCAGTTGATACTTTATAACTAAACAAAAACTTCTTAATCTTAGAAATCTAGAACACAACGTTTGAAATTCTATTTCCAATAATTTTCTTCTGTTCCCCATTTCTTCCGCGCTACTGCAGTGCTAAGGGTAGCGAGCTAAAAAGAATCAGGTCGTGGATTGGAATACGAGACCAACTAACCCTTTTAGCTTTTCTCAGAAGCCAAACAGAGAGAGAGAGAGAGCATGAATACCTTGAGCAGCTTCTTGGCGTAGTGTGAGACACCGTCAGAAACCAAAACCACCATGTCCTTGGTGGAATGGGTGTCGCGAATCGACTTTCCGAGAACGCGAACGCCGAGTAAGAACTCATCGCCGTACAAAAGGGTCACGTATGCTTGGTCAGAGGACTGAGATCCCAAAGCTCCATCACAAGTTGTGCTCTGAAACAATACAAATAGAATACAAAAAACAAACCATTTTTTCAAAAAACCCAATTTCATCGTATTCCCAGACAATTCACCAGATCAGGGCGGTGTAGGATCGAAATTTAGAGACAGACAGAAAGAGAATTGGAATTTCGTCAGGAAAACAAAATTTCAGAGAGAAAATTGAAAAAGAAAGAGATGAGATTTAGAGTTATATATTTTTGGGATGATTAAAAGGGTTTAGAAGAGAGGAATATTTGGGAGAGAGAGGAAAGTATTGACGGGGTTTGAAAAAGCTTTTGANATGAATATTTGGGAGAGAGGAAAGTATTGACGGGGTTTGAAAAAGCTTTTGAATATTCTTCGCCTTCCACTACAATGCTATCTTGGTCTTTGTTGTCGTCTGTGTTGGCTTATGAACTTGTCGAATGTCGGACGCGTCAGCCGTAGTTCAAATGTTAACTTGGATCACGATCTGGATCCGTGACGCATCAACGTTAATCATATCAATGCCAAATTCAGGGTGATTTGTGCCCCTGTTCAGTACGAAGGAAAAATGATAAAATACAAAGTTAGAGNAGGAATATTTGGGAGAGAGAGGAAAGTATTGACGGGGTTTGAAAAAGCTTTTGAATATTCTTCGCCTTCCACTACAATGCTATCTTGGTCTTTGTTGTCGTCTGTGTTGGCTTATGAACTTGTCGAATGTCGGACGCGTCAGCCGTAGTTCAAATGTTAACTTGGATCACGATCTGGATCCGTGACGCATCAACGTTAATCATATCAATGCCAAATTCAGGGTGATTTGTGCCCCTGTTCAGTACGAAGGAAAAATGATAAAATACAAAGTTAGAGAGGTAGAAAGTTTAAGAAATAAGTAAAATATGTTGGTAAAAAAAAAAGAAAATAGGAAAGATGAAAAAGTTGATAGATAAACTTTCTTTCTAATTCACCAAAAGTGAATAGAAAGTTAATTATTTATGTTGTAATGTATCTTATTTGTCTATATATTACTTGATATATACAAAAAATTCATGTATAAATACAATGATAAAATATGTATTTACCGATTATCTTTCCAATAAAACGAGAGTTAATTGTCAAAATGTCATCTTATAACAATTAACTTCCGTTTTACTAAAAAGTTAACCGGTAGGTTTGATGTATAAACTGAAACATTTCACAACAACCAATTAGGTTAACCAGAAGATGTATGTATGATACAACAACAAAATAACACTAGTAAATCCGAAAGTAAACCATTTAAANAGAAAATAGGAAAGATGAAAAAGTTGATAGATAAACTTTCTTTTTAATTCACCAAAAGTGAATAGAAAGTTAATTATTTATGTTACAATGTATCTTATTTGTCTATATATTACTAGGTGTATACAAAAAATTCATATATAAATACAATGATAAAATATGTATTTACCGATTATCTTTCCAATAAAACGAGAGTTAATTGTCAAAATGTCACCTTATAACAATTAACTTCTGTTTTACTAAAAAGTTAACCGGTAGGTTTGATGTATAAACTAAAACATTTCACAACAACCAATTAGATTAGCCAGAAGATCTATGTATGATACAACAACAAAATAACACTAGTAAATCCGAAAGTAAACCATTTAAAATGTTTACTTTAGTAATTCGATCAGCAAGCCAATGATTCAATGAAGATGGAATTCCGGTTTATACATTGAATCAAAAACATTAGTTATAGCGAGATTTAACCTGTCTATAACCAATCACCTGACTGTTACATAAAATCCAACTATATGCATCATTGCATTATGCATGAAGTACATAATAATTTATATATAGAATGATATACAATAGTGAGTTTTGCTCGATGTTCATAACCATGAACATATAATAANCCAATGATTCAATGAAGATGGAATTCCGGTTTATACAACTTGGAATATGTGAAAGGGATACTCAAACTCAAAGTAGAGTCCCGTATATATAGCCAAAAATAATACAGAGTGACTTAAACATCCTTGTAGTTTAGGCAAAATATAAAAATCATAGTAAGGGTAAAAAAGGGAAAAGGAATCCTAATAAACCTAGACTACTATCTATACTCCAACACTCCCCCTCAAGCTAGGCGCAAAAATGTCAACTAAGCCAAGCTTGACAACGGAGTCCCGAAGAATAGACAGAGTGACAGGTTTGGTAAAAACATCCGCANCAAAGTAGAAAGGATGAAAAGAAATGTAGAAGGAGAAAGTTTATGGCTTGGAAAATGTTTAGGGCCTTCTCTCTGTCTCTAGATTTCTTCTTTGTCGAAGTCTCTTTGAAAACTGACTGAATGAGGCTATTTATAGACATCGAAGAAAAGTTCAAAGGAGGTAGTCACCCAAGGCAACCAATCACACTCCTCTATTGCATCACTGGACTAATGGGAAGAAAGGCAGCTAAAGGAGGTTTAGGGCACCGTCCAAATGATAATGATTCTCTGATTTTTTGGTTACTTCACGCACCATTGTTGACTTTGGATTTTACACTTTTCTCCCCTTGTTGTTCAACCTCTGCACTCTCATCCATCCAAGTTTTCTTGTTTTCATTTAAAACCCTAAGAGATAGACAATTTAAACATTAATCGTAATACTATTTAAATTAATCTTTTTAATGCTATCAACGCACACTATTAACCCTAAACCATAATCCTATTCTGCATTTTTTTAGGATTAATCGTCAACCTCACAAATTGAAGTTGAAGATCTTGATGGTTTGATAAACTCATTGGTGTGTGAATACCAAGAATCATTGGCGTACCTATAATTTCTCAAAGCCTAGATGAACTGTGCGACAGGAACTCCAAATGAAGCTATGCAAGACATCAAAAAGGGACTTTCGATGGAATAAGACTCGAGTACTTGTATGTTGATTTTGTGAGTAGTGGATTAGATTTTGGTAAACACCGAGACGTTCCCCTTGGTTTTTTCTGATGAGGGTTTTCTGCGTCAACAAATCGCTTGTGTTATTTATTGTTTATGCTTATACACTTATGATTTTTTGCACATAAGCGCACTATGTGTTTGTATGAAGGATTAATTGACATCTTTTCATCCACAGTTGCATTTTGGTTTGAATTTTAGGATCCCCGTGAGATTGATTGTTCAAGTGAATTAATTGAAAATTAATTAACATCAATTGTCATAAGTAAGTTGGGTTGTGGTGATTAAAGAGATTCTCATCACTATTTGTTACATTTAATTGAGAAGAGGTAACTGAAATCGAACTAGGTTTTAATAGGTAAACAATTGACCTAAAATTGAAAAAGCTATTCACCTTTTCTAGGTAGTATTGTGCGTTCCAAGTATGTAATTATGAAGGAAGATCCACATAGTTTCTCCCACCCTCCCGGAACATGTTCTTTAGGTACTACTAGTTAAACACATTTTAAGGTCAAGTCGTTGTATTGATGAAAGGTCATGCCAGTAAGAGAATTGACAACATGCCTGTGGTGCAAAAATCTGCCCAACCTTTATCCAAGTTGATGAGCTGGTGTCCTTGCTCTTTGTCACCCTTCCAAGTGGTGTTGATTCAACATGTCTATAGTGTTGATTTAGCTCTTTGGAACTTCAAGTGAGGATTCCACAAGCCGGAAGAACTAAAAGGGAAGTGGAATACCAGGGGGCGGAGCTTTGGGGGTCGACCCTATGATGTTTAATGTAGTATTTGTTGGAAGGGATCTAAAGGTATTTGCAATGACTGATGTTGCGTACCTTTTCTCTTCCTCTAGGCTCCTCCGTTTATTCTGGGAGATTAAGTTTTATTTCATTTGAGGAGTCTGACCTCCCTTTTCTTTAGAGGAATCTCTTTTTGGTTAGATTCTATCTTTTTGAATGGCGAGAAGGACCCCTCCTCATGGGGAAGTCTTTTGAATCCCGGATAGATTTGTATAGACTTGGTAGCAAGATGGAGACTCCTTTGAATTGAGGAATGTCCACCTTTCAATTGTTTGTCCCTTGTAGATGGCATGTTGTCCTTGTCTTAGGGGTCTTTTGACTTTCAAATTATAAATAACGTGATCCACATAATCCCTTTCACATGCCTACTAGGTGGGGGAAAACTAATAATTAGGATTGGACTTACTCCAAGCTTTCCTAGTACTCTAGAGCTCTACAGATCTGCCAATGGTAATATTTTAAAAGGTGGAATGTTGCTGGAACTTTCCTATCATAGTAATTAATTTTCTCCCACGTCAATGATTAAGTCCCTAGAAGGCATTGGTGCTAGACTCAACACATAGGATAACAAATAATCATACATCCTCAATAGAGGATATGGAAAAAGACCAAAACTTTGTACCCATGTAGCTGCTTATGTTTCATGTCTACCCATTTTCAATATGGTTTCTTGTAAGTTGGTTTGTTCACCCTTTGCATAGTCGGACCTAAATGCACTTAAATGAAATTGTCAATCCAGATTTGATTCATGATCAATTGGTTGGCGATAGGTAGCACAGGTTAGTGACATGTGTTCCACTCAACATGACTCCTTTTTGTTGAATATGGGGTTCTAATTTGTCCAATTCCCATTCTTGGCATTCTATGAGCTCAGGGGTAGCATGCATGGGAGTGGCATTGGTTCTAGCATTTGTGATGATGTTTGACTAAAGTGCAGCTTGAAGCAGTGATAGGCATCATACCAAGCATTACCTATCAATCTGATTACATAGCCATCTTAAGGTAGCCTTGATTTGGCATGATTCTTCTCGAATTAACTCTCATATGCCATGTTTTACCTATCATTGTTAGGATGTATATTACAATTTCTTTTATGGAATAGTATTTAGGTTTGTAAAGGAACTTTAAAGACAAAACTATCATAAAATTGAACTTTAGTTCAAACCTAGTTAAAAAATCCAAGCATGTGCGACGCTCTAGTTGAACAGTTTGGATTGCAAGTCGAGTGGCTTAAATTGTTCAAATATGCAAACATGGATAATACTCGAGTTAAGCATGAGTTGATAGTTTTATAACTTGGGATGAGCCTAGGTTAACCTTTTGACCTGCTCAGTCTGCCCAAGTTGTACCC